TACACCAAAATATACAGAAATATTCTATTCTACAATATTCCATGTGCTGCACTACAACGGTGCAAAAATGCAAAAAGATGTGTGCAATTGATGTGGCTGTTCAATCCCTTATTAAAGCAGATCAATATTTCTATATTCTGATTATTTACGATATACTAGTATAAATATAAACAAACCTAACAAGGCATAAAAAGCGCAAATCAACGACCAAACAAGGTACATATAAATTCTTTGGTTAGCTGCACGATTTTTAACAAAACACATGTCACGCCGCTGCAAAGCGCGGGCATCAAAGGGGTACTGATACAAAGTTTAAGTATTTTCCTATTGTTGCTTTAAATAGCGTATTTACTCGCATTAAAAACGCACTCCTATATTCAGTGAATGAAATCTGAATTTTTTTTTCTTCCGCGTAATAAACGCGCCCCATTTGTCCACTGCAGTCCCGCTGACAATTGGCACCTCCTTTACCGTTGATCTGCTTCGTTATTATTATTATTATTATTATGCCATTTCTTTCGCCAACCTCGGATTGCTCAGCCCCCCCCCCCCCCCTTTTTTTTTTTCTCACCGCTGCCGCATGCCGTAAAGTTTATCTGCGCGCGGCACATCCCCCCCGTTTTCTTTAATCCATGCCCCACAGCGAGGTTCACGAACACTGCGACTGTTGAGACATCGCAGCTGATAAGCACCCAGCGAGCGAAAGGTCACAAACCTACCGGCGCCAAGAGACGGTCGCTTCCTGCAATACGAGTATCGCGGGCAAATCGGGAGTTGGCAGGCAGCCACGCACCTCTGCACTTCGTTGTTCACATGCACGAAAGCTTACCTTTTCAGCAATAGCACGAAATCCAAAAGCGTTCTCCATGTAGCTCCCAACGTACACTCCGTTGATTGCTTGATCGGAAACACTCTGCCCACGGCGTGCACAAGCTTCAACGAAAGCCGTTGACAGAGGACACACACTCCGCCGCACCGAAGTTGTTCTGTACTTGCCGACACGCCACAGATTGCAGTGACACGTACTGTATCTACTGTAAGCGCGAGTTAAACTGTGCAAACCGAATAAGTACGCGTCCTGGACAAAGCAAGTGAATAGTAAAATAATAAACCACCGTCAGCCTGCAGCAAACACGCGCACGACATGTTACCACCCAATTCAAAGTCTGCCTGTTGACGATGGCGATGATGGCGATGCGCAGTTGCCCCAAGACCTCAAAACCGAAACCGAAACACATAGCAGTACCGTTTTATGACATAATTTCCAAGCTATGTCAAGCCTCCAATGATATAGTGTAATATTTTATGCTTGACAACATATTTATTTGCTAGCAGAGCTTCAAAGTCTTTTTTTTTTGCCACTCACGTGTTCAGGCGGCAAATGCGTAGCCTTCGTAATGTACATTTTTCTTTTCCCGGGTGAGGCGTTATTGCGGCGTTGTTTCGACATTTTGGAGTAAAAATTTGTTACTTGCGGAACATAGATATAAATAAAAAGTTGGGGAAGGGTGGCAATCGAGGTTTTTCCGTATTTGACACATCTCCCACCCTTTTTCATGTTCGTTTGAGGAGATTTTTTTTTTTTTATTCAAAATGGGGCAAATCTAGAACCGAAACAAGCTCAACTAACGCTGCCTTGACATATACATGTTATCAACGTTCTTCTAGAACAGTAATAACTATGAATAATCTTTTAATATTACTATTTTAGAGGAAAGCTGAACGTATGTATGAGCCAATTGAGTGTCATTTGAGCTACTTTCGGGTCAGGATTTGGCCCATTTCTCAAAAAAAAAAAAAAAAAAGCTTGCGATTCGGATCGCTCGTATGCAACTACAGGCAAAAATGTACATACAAATTGGGTCAGAATCCTTTTTTCCCTCTTTCTATTCTCTTGCACGCAAAAATCCTAGCAACATCCCTGCTGTGCTATTAGCTGCTTTGAAATAACACTCTGCCACTCAGCAAGAACCGGGGGCTATGCTTTTTTTACCGACAAAGTATGAAGGACGCTTGCTTTTATTTCAAGTCTTAAATTTTGTGTGAGCATACTAATGTGCGATTATCAGTGCATTGTAACGTGACAGTAACAACTGTCAATTACAATGCTGCAAATAGTCAACTACTCTCCATCTTTGTGGCACGGGTACATTGCGCTAGTGTTGTCTACGATCGTTCACGTGTATATTATACGACGCGCAAGCGTGCTTATCAAGGAAATAAAAAAAAGAGCAGTAAGTGCCCACAGAGAGGTGCGACCCATTGGAAGAGCTCACCCGTGCTTAGCTGATGTGCGCCAAGCTTGTCCTGCGGCGCCGCATGCGTGCACAGCAGCTGCATCAGAGTAAGCTTAGCCTGTTAATTGTAAACATGCCTAGTTCAATTTGAAGTGATCCATGTTCATAGATCTAAATATAGCTCACTGAATAAATCAGGGACCTGTGTATTGATGCGAAATACTTCAGTGTGAGGGAATATATCGACACCCATTGTAAAAAATTGGTCCCGTATCTGCATGTTTCTGCAAATGTCGTCAAAAGACGATAGTCTTGCGTGTAGAGAGAGTGAACAGGACATTTATTTGGTGTTCTGCGCAAGAAAGTCGGTGAGAGGTATTCTGGAGGCACTGCGTCTGAGTGCATCGAGCGTACAGCGAAGGCGAAAAAGAACATCAAATCATGTCACACGTGAGACATGAGCGCCATCTGGCAGTCTTCTTAGAAAACAAAGCGTGTGGCTTTGAGACGGGTGTGCGCGCCCCTCTCAGAGGTGATAAGGTGTAGAACGCAAGGCGACGGGTAAATGCCACCACCGTCTCGTCTTAGCAAAGCGTTGGAAACACTCCCCGTTTCGTGCAAGCATTGCATGGTCAGCGCAGCGCGACAAGCGCTACGGTCCTTAAAATTACTAATGCATGCTTTTTCTAGTAAAAGACGCACATGCAGAATATATAAGTGTTGTTATGGTGCCGCAGACATGCGCAATGATTGCTTTTCAATTGACGATTGCACAAGCATGAATGCTCAATCTTGAGCAACACTGGTGGGCGCTGCGGATGAGGTCGGCCATTTCAAATACCAGATGCCGTATAAAGTGGACAAACAGACAAATGTACAGACAGACAGACAGACAGACAGGCAGGCAGGCAGATCAAAATTTTTGCGTTGAAGGTCCCCAAAAAAGACTATCGTCTTTAATAAACCAGGACCTCTGGTACGAAAAACTTAGTGTGATTTCAAATGAGAAGGCGCGCACGATAGCCTGTCGAAAACCATGTGTAATCGTTTCATGTTATGTTTAAGTGCAATGTAATCTCGTTTACCGATGTCTCTGTGAGAATTAGGGAAGAATGGACATGAGCGGCAGCAAAGTATATTTAGTAGGAATCCCAAAAAGTTAACCCATGAATTAAATCATTGAACATGTGAAGAATCTTCTTAATGATGTAAATAGAGGGTGGTTTAATAAATATAGTACATAGAACGATATATTTTGTCGAATGAAACGGGAAATGAAAACGAATGCTGAAACATCGATCTTTTCACCAGACTTTTGGCGTGCGGTTTGATTGCATCCGTTGAGATGTGATATGTATTGATGCTCTAAATTATATAATAGGTGTAATGTTCAAGGAAACGCCCTTGGGTGTAATTTGCTAACATACACCTATAGTACACCTAAAATGACAAATGGGTGTACAAAAGGTGGAATTGCAGAACTTACACCCGTGCGGATAAGTTTGGCAGAAATAATAGGTGTAAGATGGGTGATTTATTGAAAAATCCACCCTTTAGGGTGTGGCTTGCGGCTCACGGATAAGTTTGGCAGAAATAATAGCTGTAAGATGGGTGATTTATTGAAAAATCCACCCTTTAGGGTGTGGCTTGTGGCTCAGTACGCCTCTCATCAAAAATATTGACCTGGCGTATGAATTCTATTCCATTGAAGGATGTCCAAGCATGCGAAAATATAAACGCGAGTGCACATACGGCTGACAATAAAGCAGAAGTTCATTGATTATCCCAGTGGGTCAACATAAAAATCTAGAGCTCACTCATTCTTATTCATGAAAGGTAGTTTGCCCTTCGGACTCACATTTACCCCAAATTTTAATAAAGCAGACTCCCCCAGGCTCAAATTCACTAAACTTTATCTTAGCTGAACTCACTCGGACTGAATCTCGCCAGAGGTAATCGAGCTAAGGCAGAGATTAAGGATACTGACGTTATCACTCAGATCGTTCAAGGCAGTGAATCCACGTCTACAACTCATTTTTTAATCAATCAAATTACAGCTCAAAAACCATTCACTGACAATGCGATGGTTTCAGCGCATTTATAGGTATGCGACGGCTTATGCTGTTTCTGTAGGGCAAGTGCTTGCTCTCAAACATGATTTTGTGCTTCCTTATTTGTTTAGGGGTGAAGCTCTTCTTAGTCTAACCTTGTCACGCGTCACGCGTAACCGGCAGTATGCGAGATGGTGGTATTTGGGGTGTTCACCAGATGGACGGACGGACGCATGTGCGAACGGACGGACGGACGGATGGACAGACAGACAGACAGATGGACGGACGGACGGATGCACAAATGGACAGACAGACAGACAGACAGACAGGCAGGCAGACAGACAGACAGACAGACAGGCAGGCAGACAGACAGACAGACAGACAGACAGACAGACAGACAGACAGACAGACAGACAGACAGACAGATAGACGGACGGACGGACGGATGCGCAAATGGACGGGTGGACGGACGGACAGAGAGAAGCATGGACTAACGAACATGTGAACGCACGGACACACGGACACACGCACGCACGGACTGAGGAACGCTTTGCCCCACTCATCATCATTCACTCCGTAGATATGGTGTGATTTTTTTCTTTTTCCGTGATTTAGTTCTGGTTCAATTCGTGCGTAAAGATACGTTCGACCATCTCGAACCTAATGGTATAAATCGTGCTATAATTGTGCCCAAGAAAATGAAATGCGTTACCAAGTAGTAGGCGGACGTCAGTTGGACTCCGTTGGACGTAAACAGTACCGCATCAAATGATGTTCCAGCCTGCAAAGGACAGAGTTCGTCTCTTATAAACTGACTCTAAACATAACAGCGACAAAAAAAAAAAAAAAAAGTACGCCAGGTCTGTGCGTAAGGCGCAGCACATCACAGCGAAAGCTAGAAGAGCGGCCTTCCAGAGCCTTTTCTAGACACTCATTGGGTAACTACTGCGAGCACATTTTCTTGATACCCATTCGAAATTATTATAATTCTTTTGGTAGAAGGTATTGCCTCTAAACACTTGCAATGAATTTCGTGCCAATTGTTCGTGCAGTGGCTGACGATGATGAAATATGCCTGAAGCGGGTATGTGCCACATTTGATAGGGGAACAAGAACAAGGTTATGTAATGGGCTGAAGCATTGGACGACCCAATCGTTCCCCTATTCGCACCATGCGACGACATGTTCTTTCGCTGTTTTAAAACGCTATATAAGTAGTATTAACGCGATTGCTTTCCCGACATCACGCCTGCCTAAGGCAAGTTTGCCAAAAAGTACTAAGCACCGGCGTAGCTCAGTGGTAGAATACTGAGCTGGCACCCAGCGGACCCGGGTTAGCGCCCCACTGTGTGATTGGCGCTAGGTTTTTGTGGTTATGGACACCGGCGGTTTCGGCGGCGGCGGTGGCGGACAACCATGGGGCGCGTGACCCGAGTTGTGATCTCATAACAGCTTTCGCTGTAGAAAGTGTCGAAACTTGACTCAGTGGGAAGACATGATCGCTAATATAAACACAAAATAAGCCCCCATAATTAATAGTGGAGTTATTATTTAGCATTCACCAAGTAATTATGCATGAGAGTTGAAATGAAACGGAAGGAGCACGGAATGCTGGGTTGTTAGTAGCAAAGTTGTTAGTAGCCACTTGAGGTCTTACCTTAAGGAAGGCCTTGGGGTCCTTCCTTTCAATGACTAAGTATTTCTGATCGTTGGAGTTGTACCGGCTCACTAAGAAATTAGTCCGGGCTTGTTGCTGACTTCTATACTTCGAGTCAGCTGTTTCCACCTGTGAAGAACAAATAGACACGAAAAAGACAGGCGTAAAAATCATTACAAGACTTTTAGAGCTCAACTTTAAGCGAAAGTTTCAGAAGGGCCATCTATGACTGCAATTCGCGTTCAACAGAAGAAACTCTACAACGAAAACCTCTAAAAACAAAAAAAGCAGGCTATACAAGAGGAAATATACTATGTACAAAATCCTTCAGATATTTTATTATTTCCAACACCACAACAAATATGAAGTGAACGCGCAGCTCAGATGCTCAAGCGTTTATATATATATATATTTTTTTCACTTCAATGTTATGTTCAACTGAGGCATATAACGGTTTCTTCGTAATACAAATACCATTCATGCTGTCCCACCTGGAAATTGAATTGAGCGTCGCCAATTTTGGAAACGACGAAGAAAGTCACGACACCGTCCTTATCAGTTGCAGCTGTCTTCGGCGGCATGTCACAACCAGTGCAGGTCAGTTTTGTTTGAACGTCAGCTGCAGGCTCACCATTCGCGTATGTAACGTCAGCCTGGAAGCAACGATGAGATTAGTCAGTGACGAAGGAGAGAGAGAGACAGAAGTGAGTGCAGAAGTAGGCAAGTGGATTATCAAGCCTAAGAAATTAGCAAACGTGAAAAGACTATCTGCACACAAGGATTGCTTGATTGATTAATTGATTGATTGATATGTGGGGTTTAACGTACCAAAACCACCATATTATTATGAGAGACGCCATAGTGGAGGGCTCCGGAAATTTCGATCACATGGGGTTCTTTAACGTGCGTGCACAGAAGGCATAGACCAGTTTAGACGGGTCTAACGATTGCTGTTAACCTGACTCACATTTCTGCAGTTAAAAAACAAGTACGACCGAGGAAAGGCCAACCGCCACGGAGCTATTATTTGACGGGAAAGTTCTGGCGTTCCGCCCGCGACAACCAGTTAATGCTTGCATTCTAACATAAAAGCTGAACCTATTTGCGGTCTCGGAATTACTGCCCTCAGTATAGTCTAACGTTCGCCCATGATCGTCACAGTTTCCTTTCTTTTTGCACCGGTTACGATGAGTCTATATAAAACGTGGCATAAATGTCTCGCTTGCTACGCGACAAGCGCGAGTCTATATAATTGCCTTGTGCCTCAAAAAGGTTGAGCGAGCAAGACAGACGTGTTCTTACCATAACGTAAAACTTGAAACCCGGTTTGAAGCTTTTCTCGCTGCGTGCCGTAGACACCAGGTACGGCGAGGTGGAGAAGACGGCCTGCTCGCTCCGCGTAGACTCCCGGATTCCGGTAGCTTCCTCGATGACCGTCGCCTCGACCACGAGCCGAGCACGAGCCGCAAAGAGAGCGTCCACCTTCGGCCTTCCCAGCTTGTCGACTACATCTTCCCGTCGCAGTGTGTATACGGCGTCGCCTGCATCCAGCTGCGAAACAGGGCAATCGTAGAACGGCATGGTCAAAACGAACAATAGGTCCTTCTGCGTGCAGCCACGTATTTCTCAACGCATCAGCATTCCAACTGTCAGCGTGCACCAACAGCAGAAATTACAGTGGCGTTCCGGACCGTGATCTCGGGCGACGCGCGAGCGAATGGGTGCAGCGGCAAATTCCAGAGGAGGTTAACAAAGCGCCTCCGCCTATATAACCTCACTCGGACAGTTTTTTACATCTTCCTGTTTATTGTGGTAGAGGGGCTGACCGGATTCACATTGGTGCTGCGGTGTCGCTTTATAGTGAATGGGGCTCATTGCTCTGTATGTAATCGCGTCAACTAGTATGCGTGAGTTCAGCAGGAGTTTTACTTGGCTGGTGTACCAACCCTGAACGTTTGCAGCCCTGACGAGGCTCATTTGGGAGAGGCCACCTCCTGTCTTTCTCAACTTCCGACGAATGCATACACCCGCCCGGGCCACTGCTCTTGCCTAAACCCAGTTCTCTTTCTGAGTGGCTGATATGCATTCGGGGGACGTTTATGCGAATTCGGCTGCTTCTTAAAACGGTGGCTGACAGGGAATTCCGGTCCTGCGGGTGAGCAGCGTGCCTTTGGAAACTCATCCCATGCTCCGTGGCCCTCCTCGAAAGACTTAAGACGACAAAGCCACGGTCGACCTAATGAGAGATTCGGCGGGGCAACAAACAAAGGGATAAAAACCAATCGCTTGAGCGTCGTCCGTGTTGAAACGATGCGTGACTGCAATTTCCTTTTCCCCGAGTGGCTTTACTTTGTAATGAGCGCGTTAGTGCGGGTTATGTGGGTCACTTCTAGAGGACTGGGATGCTTACCGCCTTGGGCATGCCGCTGGTCCCAATTTCCTCCACGGCTCCCACCTCATTCTTCACTGAGAAACGGAAAGTAACGAAGCCACGGACTATCTGCTTGTTCACAAACCTGCGAAAAGAAGATGAACGTTTCCCGCATTCTGCCGACGCGCAGCTTCCCAAGGCAATTAATGTAAACAAAACAAAATCACTCCGTAACGCGGAGTTGCTCAGCATAGAGACGGAAATCAGGTGTGAACTTTGTTTTAGATGCGGAGCATCTTATACTCGCGCCTTGTAGTGCGCCGTGCGCGCCGTCCGCACCGCTTCTCGAACATTCGACAGCTGACGCGCGCGCATGCGCCGTCGCGCCGTCGCCCACTCTTCCACCATCTGTGCATCCCTTCCTCCTCTACACACCGCGCGCGCTTCACTCCTCCACCATCTGTGCACCCTTCCTCCTCTACACACCGCGTTCGACATCTACAATTCTCCTGATTCTCCAGTGGACGCGCATGTGGCGTCGCGCTTCGAGAACATTCAACAGCTGACAGTGCATGCGCCGTCGTGCTGTATATATACTCAAGGTCGGCGCTCGCTCGCTCAGTTGCCGCTCGTCGGTTGGTTTGTACGGCGCGTCGACGTCCAAGGTCGCGGTGAAATGAATTCCAACGAATCCACAAACACAATGATCGACGTCCCTTCGACCAGCGCCGCCCTTTCGCATACGTGTGTACGTGTTCACTCATTTAACACCCCCTCCTACAACCACGTTAACCAATTTAGCCATCGACCCAAGTAAGTCGCAATTTAACACCCCATTTCACAACCACGTTAACCAATTTAGCCATCGACCCAAGTAAGTCGCACTTTAACACCCCGTTAACCAATTATATGGTCCGCATCCTCCTCAGTGTTCCCCTGAGGGAAGCTGCGGGCAATTTTTTTTTGTGCTGCCTTTAAAAGCCACTGGCAATACGAGCTTCCATCTCTAACTGGATGAGGGTAAAAACGGCAACTTACCCTGCTCGAACTTTAACAGTGATGTTGCTAAAATCTGGCAGAATGTAGTCAACCGTCTTCAACACCACTGAAAACCGTGGGAGCACTGCAGAAAGAGGAAGAAACCGATGTAGAGACACTTTGTATATAAATACATAGTATTTCTATTTTCCGAAGAGAAAGAAAAGAAATGAGTTTCATTGCGAAGTGCAAAATGTAGGATTCAGTTTTACTCATCTAACCCGCTACGAGCACTGAGATAAACGCACTGTGCTAGAGGACAGAAAAAGTATTACGAGCGGGGACGTTGTAACGAGGATAGAAGAATACGGTTAAGAAAATCTAGGAGTTCTCTTGAAGCATAATATTTAAAGATTCTCCATTGGGAGCAGTTGGATACCTCAATGGAGTGGTCATCTTGACTAATATTTCCGTCGCCATAGTAATCTGGCACTTGTGCTCGCGGATAGCTGGAGCACAAGTATAGTTTTGGTAATAACGACCCTTCTCTACTTTCCTTAAATACGGAGATCCTAATTCAGAGCTCTATTCCACTTGCCTCACGGTTGCGCATGTTGCTTCGCTTGGGTGTACAAAAAGCTAAATGAAATGAAGATGCTTCCAAAAAGAATGCAAGAAGTCGCTGCAGGTGACTCTAGTGCCTTTGTTCACGAAAATTTTCCTAAACTAAAACTACTATAGGTTAAATTAGGCGTATAATGGCGAACAGCACACTCGAAGGAAGATCTAAGCGAAGTTCCATTTCCGGTTTTTCGTGAGGAAGTGCATGACGTCGTATAAGTGCTATTGATTCACCACAGCCAGAAAATGCCATCCCATGGAAAAGAGAAGAAATTAAGAAAAAAAAAACACACGAAATGCCGAGAAAAGGCATGGGGTTGAACCAGTTTGGGACAACCGGTTTGTCACCTACACATGGAAACAGGAGGGGGGACATTGAAAGATGGAGAGGCAAGAGAGACAGCACATACAACAGCACACACAGTAAGTCACAGTTCGTCAGGCTTGCGTGGTAAGCGACATCCCTGTCACAGCTGCTAGCTCAAGACAGTTTCTTTTGTATTCCTGTTGACATTATACTCATGGCCGGAGAAGACAGTAAGCATAAAGACTATTTATGACTTTTGTATCTTTGTTTCTTTAGGAACGAATACTACCGCAGTACATTCAAAGTTGTACTCACCATATTTGTCCACGACGAAAGTGGCTGTGGTGTTTTGCATGAACTGTTCGTGGAAGGAAAGGGCGAAAAAAATGTAGGCCGTGTTACTTATAGCACCACTAAATACAGGGCACAGGTTGGGAAAAGATTAAAGCTTGAAATGATATGCGATCTTCGAACATGGAATGTTGCATGACGCAATGTTATAATAAGAGGACTTGCCCCCGTCAGGGGCAAACGGGCAAGAGCGGTTGGAAGGACAGAAGTGGCAGTGCTGCTATTCGCAATTGCTTCCATGAACAACACAAGTCCTTTCATGGAAACTCTGGTTGCAGCGACATTCCCTGTTCGACCATTACTCAACATTTCATACCGCTGCCTTAGGCACACACAAGTGAATTGCAGGCCTATCAAACAACCGAGTGGGCTAACAAAAAAATCATGCCTTGTGTCCGTAACGCATGACCAGCTTCCATTCACCGAGCAGAGCATGTTCGGGCACGTAGAACTGATGGCTGAGCATGAGCTCTTTGTCAGGATGAAAGTCTCTTTGTTCCAACACCACGTCTTGGGGATTCTGAAGAAACAAAATAGGATATTTAATGTATGAGAAACACTGGCTTGGAAACGTTCGTCTCATTCAGCACTTCAAGGTGTTCATTGATAAATAGAGGTAGAGGGTCTATTATGAGTATAAACATATGAAAAGTAAACTGTAAAAAAACATTTCGGTGTGAAACATGTCATATGTCACTAGCCGTGGCGTCTGTGACGTCGGGCGCTGTATAGAGCGGAGCCGTCGTCTTAAATGGGGGAACCGCTGCTCGGATCGTCGCCGTTCTCGGCGGCGCTGCGGATACCAGAGTTTTAGCTGCCTAAAATCGTTCAGTGTGAGTCTGATGCTGAAGAAAGCTGAAACTATCTTGATTTCCCGCGCAACTGATCATACAACAGTATTATTCAGCGTAACTCGGATGCTCGCTCAGCAAGCTGCTTGTTACGTCACGGTTCGCGAGTGCAACGCCGCTGCCGGACTCTGGGAACGTTTGGGTGTTATTATAAAAATATTTAATACTAAGTTAGGTGCCAAACCAAATGCGCCAAAAATAGTGATCGTATGGGGATCAACGCACATAACACCGATTATGATCCAAAAGTGGGTGCCATGGCCCCTTTCAAGATAGCAGTATGAAAACCATACCCTTCTTCTGACGAGAAAACAAGTGCCATTTTTCTTGACTCTCATCCTTTGTCCCCTGGTGCTTCGCAAGGAGACCCTTGTAACGATAAAAACCTACTTTAGAAATGCAAACGTCTTTCTGGTGCATAGAGTGAAACTTCGGATTTTCTTTCTTCCTTTTCTATGCTCTCTGGTGCTTCTCTTGCAACAATACAGTAACTGCAATGCTTAAAGATTTGTCTTTATTGTTCTTAGACGACTCGCGCTTGCCATTGCGCAGTGTGTCAGTGAACCATCTGATTAAGAAAGATTAGGAAAGTGCTGGCTTTAGCATGAATCCTAACGAAAATCTCGAAAAATGTTTGAGCCGAGCATATACGGTTTATTCCCTTTTTGCAGTAAACTAGATCCATCGTCTCATTTGTGTTTCCTTCATGTGCTCTGCCATGGCATTCACTGTCAGAATTGACACGTCTTCGTTTGAGCGAATCTACAGAATTTAACAGAACGTATGTAGCGAACGCCTGAACAACGATTTAGGAACGGTATGGCGTAAAACCCTTCGACTTTGACACCAAGGTGAAGGCAATTTTTTGTTTCCATTTCATTGCGTAGTTACTTCTTGTCGCAGGTCAGACAGCGCCCGATAGTAATATATTAGTATTGCTTGATTTTCCAATTTAACTAGTACCAGGAAGCAATACAGAAATTAAACTAATACTTACCCTGACTTCAAGTTTGAAAGGCGTTGACACTGGCTTCAGTGATCCATTTAGGGCAATGAACCTGATGAGGACTGAAAAAAACGACAACAATGACTGAGTATTTAGGAAATATGCCTGTACACGCAGCATGCGTTACGTATGAAGTATCGCGTGCGCCGCATGCGTAGACACAAGGCTAGACACCACCACCCTGTTTGCATTTAGGGAAGCGTTGGTGCCATAACAGTGATGCAGAAAACAATAGGATATATATATATATATATATATATATATATATATATATATATATATATATATATATATATATATATATTGTAAAGAAGAGGAAGTACTCCGGCGCAGAGGCAGCAGCATCGAGTGTGCAGCAGCGGCTCGAGCTCGGAAATTGCGGCTGGTGCATCGCCTTCCAAGCCTTCCAAGCATCAACCCTTCTGCTTAATAAATCTCCTTTATAATTGGTGGAGCCGTGCCGGATACCGTCCCTTACACCTTCCCGCTACCATCCTGGAACTCCGTTCTCGACGGCTACCTTCTGCTATGCCGGACGCCGATCAGCAGACGCTTCCATCTCTTCCGGCCACCTGTCCAGGCAGTGTTCCTCAGCGGGAGTCTCCAATCTTCAGTGGAACAGATGACAACGACGTTGAAGAGTGGCTCTCGACTTTCGAACGGGTGAGCGCTTTAAACAGATGGACGGACGCGGACAAGTTGACACGCGTTTCGTTCTATCTCGCTGGTGTAGCCAGCCTTTGGCTTAGAAACCACCAGGCAGACGTCCGAACGTGGCCGCAATTTAAAACGTCGATTGTAGCAGTCTTCGATCGACCTGCCGTCCGAAAACTTCGGGCCGAGCAACGTTTACGCACACGCGCACAAGAAACGGGTGAAACCTTTACAAGTTACATAGAGGACGTCGTCGATTTGTGCAGACGCGTGAACGCCGAAATGACGGAAGCTGAAAAATGTAAGCACATCCTCAAAGGGATTGACGACGACGCTTTTCAAATGCTCTTGGCGAAAAGCCCGACCACTGTTAACGACGTAATTAGCCTCTGCCAAAGCTTCGATGAATTGCGGAAGCAGCGAGCTCTGACAAGACGTCCTCCAGCGCACGATTTGGCATCGCTGCCTAGTGTGATCAGTGGTCATGACCACGCGTCACTAATAGCCGAAATAAAAGCATTTGTCCGCGAAGAAGTTGCACGACAGCTTTCCTTGGTGCCTTTCACACCAGAAGCTACCACAACTTTACCATCGTCTCTACGTGACGTCATTCAAGGAGAGGTCGCCGAGGCCTTACCAGCTGCTCGCGAGCCTAATCTTGTGGCTGCTCCTCTCACCTACGCCGCGGCTGCAGCGATTCCAACTCGCAAGGCGCCTGCGCCTCCGTTCCAGCCTCGCGCGAGCTATCCCCCAGCTCCAGTTCACTGGACCAGCACTAACACCGCCAACCCGTGGCGCACCCTCGATAATCGCCCGATATGTTACGCTTGTCGATACCCCGGACACGCCGCAAGGTATTGCCGCCGCCGGACGCATATCACCAATGGAAACCGCCGTGAGCCTTTCTTCCCGCTTGACTCCAACGCGCGATACGGTTCCTCCACTCCAATTACAGCCCGCTACCAGGACGACCACCACCCTCGGCCGGGACGTCTTCGCTCGCCCTCTCCACGCCGCCACTCGCCTTCTCCTATGCGTCGACGGCCCGCACCTAACGAGGAGGAAAACTAGACGACGCAGTTCCTGAGGCAAGAACTGCGCAAGTTTCGGTTTGCCCAAGTCCTCACTTGTCACCTACCAATGTTATTGATGTGTTCGTCGAAAATATCCTACTGTCGCTCTTGTAGATACCGTGCAGCTGTTTCGGTTAGAGATGCTGGATTTTGTCGCTCAATTCGTAAGGTTACGACGCCTTTCTCCGGATTATCGCTTCGCACAGCCAGTGCTCAACCTGTTCAACCGACCGCAGTATGTACAGCCCGCGTGACAATTCAGGACGTTCTGTATACGATAGAGTTCGTGGTTCTTTCATCATGCTCCCATAATATTATTTTGGGATGGGACTTTTTGTCGCGTCATAACGCCGTAATCGACTGTGCTAGGGCTGAGGTCAAATTTTGCTCACTGGATGACCAAGCGTCCGTCGACACCCAGTTTGCCGCTAAACTTGTCGTTAGCGATGACACCTACATCCCTCCATGCTCTTTTGCGTTCGTGCCAGTTTCATGCAGCGCCATATCCGACGGCACGGTCTTCTTCACACCATCTCCAATATTCGTCGCCCGAAGAGCCCTCCCCCTGCCTTTTGCTGCTCTCGATCTTGTAGAAGGGTCAACCACAATGCCAATTTATAATCATGAGTCGTCGTCTTTATCCCTACTTTGTCACGAGTGCCTTGGCCACGTCGAGACAATCAGTTCTTCCAGAATTATATCCGTCCCCGATGAGGTGCCTTCTACCTCCGTCTGTGAACTGGCTGTCGTCTCAGCGCCTGACTCAACGTCGGCAAACATATTTCAACCATTCATCGCTGCAGATTTGACATCTTCGCAGCGTTCCCAACTCCTCACCATTCTTGAGAGCTACCGCCACTCTTTCGACGTTGAACAAACATTTCTCGGCCGTGCCTTAGCAGTAGAACACCACATCGACACTGGGTCCCACTCACCGCTGCGACAACGACCATATCGCGTGTCCGCTACAGAACGCCGCGTCATTGCTGACCAAGTAGACGACATGCTTCGCAGAGGCGTCATTCGACCTTCACAGAGCCCATGGGCGTCTCCGGTGGTTCTCGTCAAAAAGAAAGACAGTTCTATTCGTTTCTGTGTCGATTTCCGGCGATTGAACAAGATCACGCTGAAGGATGTCTATCCATTACCGCGCATTGACGATGCTTTGGACAGTTTGCAGGGTGCCGAGTTCTTTTCCTCGTTAGACTTGCGGTCAGGCTACTGGCAGGTGCCTATGGCGGAGGCCGATCGCCCCAAAACCGCTTTTGTCACGCCAGACGGTTTATATGAATTCACCGTCATGCCCTTCGGACTTTGCAATGCACCTGCAACGTTCGAACGAATGATGGACAACATCCTGCGTGGACTAAAATGGAAGATATGCTTGTGTTACCTCGATGATATCGTGGTCTTCGCCCCTAACTTTGACACACACTTACGTCACCTTCAGCACGTCCTTACTTGCTTAACTAACGCCGGTTTGCAAATAAACCTAAAAAAATGTCGATTTGCCATGCGTCAACTGAACATTTTGGGCCACGTTGTTTCCAAGGAAGGCGTCCTCCCGGATCCCGAGAAATTGCGAGCTGTTACGGCGTTTCCTAAACCTGCCAGCATCAAAGAACTCCGAAGTTTCATCGGCTTGTGTTCGTATTTCCGGCGATTCATCCGAAACTTCGCGTCTATTATATCAGCTCTCACGCAACTTCTCAGCAGCTGTAAAGACCTCTTATCGTGGTCCCCTGTCTGCGACGAGGCTTTCACCACCCTGTGACGGCTTCTTACGACGCCACCCATTCTACGCCATTTCGATCCTGAAGCTCCAACTGAAATCCACACCGACGCCAGTGGTGTAGGCCTGGGTGCTGTGCTCGCACAGCGTAAACCGGAACATCAAGAATACGTCGTGGCATACGCTAGTCGCACACTTACCAAGGCTGAGAGCAACTACAGCGTCACAGAAAAGGAGTGCTTGGCCATTTTGTGGGCCCTTGGAAAGTTTCGCCCATATCTATATGGTCGTTCTTTTGACGTCGTGACCGACCACCACGTGCTGTGCTGGCTTTCGACGTTAAAAGACCCATCTGGCCACCTCGCTCGCTGGGCGTTGAAAATTCAAGATTACGACATACGCGTGGTTTATCGGTCAGGACGGAAGCATGCTGACGCCGACGCCCTTTCCCGTTCCCCCCTGTCCCAGAATGCCACAGCTGACTCCGCTTGCGATTCCACATTGTCATCGCTTGACTTTGACACCATTGCTATCGAACAACGCAATGACCCGTGGACTGCGTCTCTCCTCAATCATCTCTCCGACACTTCTGAACTCCCAAAGACGCGAACGCTTCGGCGCCAAGTTACACACTTCTCGATACGTGACACGCTTCTCTATCGACGTAACTACGCACCAGAGGGACGCAAGTGGCTGCTCGTCGTTCCACGAACCCTGAGGTCGCAGATTTGTTCCTCTTTTCACGCTGACCCACAATGTGGCCACGCAGGAGTCTTCAAGACCTACGAAAGGCTTAGACATCGCTACTACTGGCGTGGCATGTATACCTTCGTCCGCAACTTCGTCCGCTCTTGTGCCGAATGTCAGCGCCGAAAATCTCCACCACACGCCTCCGCCGGTGAACTGCAGCCTTTACCATGCCCTTCCCGACCCTTCGAACGGGTTGGAATAGATATTTATGGGCCACTTCCATTGACTCCAACTGGCAACAGGTGGATAATAGTTGCTATCGACCACCTACCGCGCTATGCTGAGACCGCTGCTCTTAAAACGGCTACAGCACAGGAGGTTGCCACTTTCCTAATGCGTCATTTTGTGTTGCGTCATGGAGGCCCTCAAGAACTCCTCAGTGACCGCGGCCGCGCCTTCTTGTCCGAGGTCATTGAAAAATTGCTCGCTGAGTGTGCTATTGTACATCGCACATGTACCGCTTACCACCCACAAACCAATGGGGCTACCGAGCGCTTTAATCGTACTCTCGGTGACATGCTATCTATGTATGTGACGCCTGACCACTCTAACTGGGACTTAGTTCTCCCATTCATTACATACGCCTATAATACGGCAACGCAAGCGACAACAGGCTTCTCCCCTTCTTACCTCCTCTACGACCGTCCCCCCTCCCACACCATTGACACCATTTTGCCCTATCGACCAGACGCGTCCGAGTGCCTACCGATCTTGGACGCCGCCAGACACGCAGAAGAATGCCGCCAGTTAGCTCGTCGCTTTACCTGCGATGACCAAAACAGGCAAAAAGCAATTCACGATGCCCAGACCTCAACTCCCGTTTTTCTTCCGGGTTCTCTTGTATGGCTGTCAG